CAGCAGCAGGATGGAAGAGGCAGCAGCAGCAGCGGCAAAGACAGCAGCAGCAGCAGCAGCAGCAGCAAAGCAGCACAGAGAAGGTCGTTTCAGGGATCGTGTTTGGGGGGGACCCGGAGCCAAGATCGAGCGGGGATCGAGTGGGGATCGGCTGGGGATCGGGATCGGGATCGGGATCGCTTTGCTTACGCAGGAGCTGCAGCAAAAAGGGCAAAAAGAGCCCCGAGGAAAAGTTGGGTGTGCATGTTGGTGACCTTTGGGGTGTACGTACAGCCCAGGGGCTCGCGTGTCTGCGAGGCCTTCGAAACAAATTTAATTTAATTTAAATTTAAAATTAAAAGCGCTTCAAAAGAGAAAATTTAAAGAACTGGGGGCAGCAGCAGCAGCAGCTGCTCCTGCTGCTGCTGCTGCTGCCGCCCCCAGGGTCACCCCAGGCGGGGGGAGACGGCGTGCTGCCAGCTGGTGCAGCAATAGGCTGGCGACTCTATAAGAGACGCAGCAGCAGCAAATATAGTTTATTTATTTATTTATTATTTCAAAAAGAACAAACACACAAAACTCAAAAAGCTGCAACACCCCGCCCCACCTGCTGCGCTGCTGCAAGCAGCAGCAAACAGCAGCAGTTTGCTGCGGCTAGCTGCAGATAGCTGCAAAGAGCTGCTGCAGCAAGGCGCAGCTAGCTGCAGCTAGCCACAGCCAGCTGCAGCTAGCTGCAGCTGCTGCACCTAGCCACAAACTGCAGCTAGCCAGCTGCTGCCGCTGCGCTCTCGCCTTCGCAGCCAAGGAGACGCAGTGGCCACCTAAACCCTAAACCCTAAACCCTTAACCCTAAACCTCAGGCCCTAAATTCTAAACCCCAAGCAACAAGCTGCTCCTCACCAGCCAGGCTTGGCAAACTATGGCTAGCTGTGGCTAGCTGTGGCCAACCATGGCTGGCTGTGGCTAACTATGGCTAGCCGTAGCTAGCTGTGACTAGCTGCGCCTAACTATGGCTAGCTGCGGCTATCTGTGGCTAACTCAGCTAGCTGTAGCTAACTTAGCTGGCTGTGGCTAACTCAGCTTGCTGCGGCTAGCTATGGCTAGCTGTGGCTAGCTGCGGCTAGCTGTAGCTAGCTGTGGCTAGCTGTGGCTAGCTGTAGCTAGCCACAGCTAGC